TTTTACTCTCCCACCCAACGGCCTTTCTGAGAAAGGCCCACCACTCCCTCCTACTAACCCCACCCTTAACCACCTGCATTGGAACCCAATCAGCTCTAATCTCTGAGCCCGCCCCCTAAAAGTCCCCAACCCCAAACCTGTTTCGCCTCTTTCCATCTATGGAGAGACGGCCTTTATTTGTCAGCTCTGACAAATAAACTCTGTGTGGATCTCTGCCTGGTCTCCGTCTTTCACTTCTCGCTCGCCCGTCTCCCGGTTCCTCACTTGCCCCTCAGTGCTCTTCACATAGGGAGCTTCGAGGGAAGGACAGTGAGAGACACCAAGGCCATTGTGATCTATTTCTAAGAAAGAAGAAACTCCTACTTTGAGTCGTGGTCATTAAGTGGGAAGAAAGAGAACCTGGTTCAACCTAATTCACATAATTACAGTCCATGGCCTGTCAATGAAAGAAAATAGAACCTGTCATTGGGTGCACACTAACAGGAGGAGCATGGGGTCATTCAAGAGAGACAGAGACAGAGAGAGATCCAGAGCCAAATCCTGAAGAAAGAAGGCCATCAGAGCTCAGTCCTGCTCTATGCATCGACTTCTAACCTTATCATGTGTAGAGCAGAAATAAAAGCATCCAACTTGTGGGACCTTTGGTAGAATTAACGTGCATAATATATAATGTTTGGTGCACAGATAAACAGTTGGTTAATTTTGAAATGCATTTATTTGTTACCAAAAAAATACTCAAGATCATCATAGTTGTGTGAAATTATTAGGATAAATGTGTATTCCCTATTTTCCAAATGTCTTCCTTGGATCATTTTGAAACGGTTCATTCATATGAGCAATGTTTCTTATCTTTCTCCTCCAGATGGCTGGCATGATGCTTCTACAATTTTTATTCCTAACCACCGCGGCAGAACTGGTCCTCTCAATCATAAGTCTCAATGTGATCAGGAAAGCATTTGAACGTGAAATCATTGAATGAGTGAGTAATTTGTTTTCAGGCTCGCCAATGAAGTCTCTATTAAGAACCATATCTGAGGTTCTAGAGTTTAGCTGGAATCAAGAAATAGCATTGCTTCTAAAGTCATGTCAAGAGTAGCTGTAAACATAGTGAAATGTCATTCTGCTTTATAATACATGAAATTGAAGTAAAACAACTTTCCCTGGCCAAACAATGTGGGAGAAGTTGGTCTTTGGGACTTACATCTCTTGGAAGATTAATAGAAAAAAATAGACTGAAAGAAGCTTCTCTGGCCAGACACGGGGTATGTGGAGACTGAATGCTCTAGACTGAATGATTCAAATTTGTTTTAAAGGACAAAGATAACAAAGAGTTTTAGTTTGTTTAAATAAAATAAAAATAAAGATTTTAGGGGAGATAAAAGAGAGTGCTTCTGTCAGAGAAAAGACAGACCCTCAAAAAAATCCGTTCCTCCAGCCAGGCATGGAGGCGCATGCCTGTAATCCCAGAGGCTTGGGAGGCTGAGATACGAGAATTGCAAGTTCAAAGCCAGCCTCCGAACTGTGAGGTGCTACGTAACTCAGTAAGTCATGCTGTCTCTAAATAAAATACAAAATAGGGCTGGGGATGTGGCTCGGTGGTTGAGTACCCCTAAGTTCAACCCCCAGTCCGCTCCCCCCCAAAAAATCCATTCCTCCAGAAAAGTGAACATTAACACGGGAAACGTTGTCAAAACCAACTTTTTCAAAACTCTGGAAATTAATTGGTCAAGGGTTTGCAAGAAGCATTTGCTCAGAGAAAAGAGCCAAATCTTGGTAAGAAGAGGGAGCTTTTGTGCTGTTGTGACTTGCCGCAGTACCACTCTCTCCGTGGGTCATGGGAGAGTGGGGACTCCCTAGCAGTTCAGGCAGGTGTGGTAGACCACAGAGTGTGTTAGGCGCCCATGTGTGGCTATTCTTAGAGTGGGCATGTGGGCCCCATCAGGTCAAGCCATCCCTCAAAGCTAGGGTTACCCAGCTACTAAGCTCAAATGCAGACGCATGACAAAAGGAAACTATAAACTATAAAACTGACCAAACTCTGCTGCTTACATATATTAATATGCCAGAGTGAGCTTCACCTTTATTTATATGTTAAAAAACTATAACTAACTAGAAGGAAGGCCAGTTGAGTAGAGAGAACAGAGGGAGCGAGGAGGGAAGGAAAAGGGGGAGTACTGTAGGCTGATTTAGAGCAAATTAGATTACATGCTCTTGTATAATTATGTCCAAATGAACCCTAGAGTTATACTGTGTATAACTCTAATGCACTAATAAAATAGGAAAGAATAACAAAACTATAGACTAGAATCCATGATAAATAAGGATGTGCAAATCCTCAAAATCACATAATCTCTAGCAAATGGAATCCTACAACATACGAAAACAGTTATACATCATGTCCAATTAGGAGCTATCCTAGGAATACAGGGCTGGTTCCATATTTGAAAACCAGCCAGTGTCATACCCCATACTAACAGAACAGAAGACAGCACATGTTCATCTCAATAGACACGGGAGAAGAATTTAACAAAAATCTCATACATTTTCATGACAGAAAAAAAAAAAAAATTCCACCAACTGGGAATAGAATGGAATTTCCTCAACATGAAGAGGTCATTTATAAAAATCCACACCTCATTAATTACCTTATGGAAAGATACTGAATATCCTTTCTCTCTGAGATCAAGAACAAAATAGGGATGTCTGCAATTTTTTCTTTTTTCCCACGTTTTTTATTGGTGCATTATAGTTGTACGTATTGTTGGGATTTGTTACATATTTGGACCTACCTACAGTATAACAACCTAATTTGGCCAATATCACTCCCCAGCACTTCCCCTCTCCCTCCCCACTTCTCATCCCTTGGTCCCTTTCCTCCAAAGATCTCCCTCTGGTTCGTAGGAGATCCACCCCCCACCTTTGTTTTCCTTTTTCCTCTCTAGCTTCCACTTAGGAGAGAAAACATACGGCCCTTAACCTTCTGAGTCTGACTTATTTTGCTTAACATGATGATCTCTAGTTCCATCCATTTTCCTGCAAATGCCATAATTTCATTGTCCTTCATGGTTGAATTAGACTCCATTGTGTATTTATACCACACTTTCCTTATCCATTCCATCCATTGATGGACACCTAGGCCGGCTGCATAGCTTGCTATTGTGAATTCTGCTGCCATAAACATGGGTATGCATGTACCCCTGTAGTAAGATGGCTTTAATACCAAGAAGTGGTATAGCTGGGTCGTATGGTGGTTCCATACCTAGTCTTTTGAGGAAACTCCATACTGATTGACATAGCAGTTGTACTAATTTACAGTCCCACCAACAGTGTCAAAGTGTTCCTTTTTCTCCACATCCTCTCTGGCATTTATTATTATTTGTGTTCTTGATGACTACCATTCTGACCTGCGTGAGATGAAACCTCAGTGTAGTTTTGTAAATCTGCATTTTTTTATGTCCACTTAAAACTCTGCCTCCAGTCAAAAGGATGACATGTTTGCAGAACTCCTATCTGGTATTACAGGAGGGAAAGTAGTTGAAAATGAAGTGCGAGAGATAAATTGAGACTACCTCCTAATGGGAGGGCTCAACTACCTTATCCAAGAAGTTGGATTTCGTCTATAGGCACCAGGGTGCCCTTGAAGGGCTTTTGACGGCCACGTGTCTTGATCAGACTTTTGGGGTATGTAAGTATTTTCGTTAAAATATTTTCTACAGCAAATTACAGATCAGTGCTCCCCTCCCCGCCCCAAATCACACTGCTGATTCCATCAGGAATCCATCATCTATTAAAGAGCAGGTCCCAAGCCGGGAAAGCTTCTGGCTCGACTGATTGAGGAGCTCAAATGATCAGAGACCCTGACCCACCTTGTCTTCCTACACGCTGTCGTCATCTTTATCCCCAGGCTGTCTCACCTGGTCACTTCCCGCAGGAGAAGCTGCCTTTTCTTCCCCGGAAGCCGCGGCAAGCCCGTCTTGGCATCCCATTTCCCAACTCCCGAGGCTCACCTCTGAGCCGAAGGCTGGCAAAGGGCATGGTGGGCCGTGAGTGAGCCACCCAAGTCATGCGCAGTGGGTGTCAACCACAGGGAGTCAACCACAGTGTCCCAGGCGTCCTGTCAGGAGGACCAAGATAGACTAAGGGGGAAAAAACCCAGGCTAGAGACAGGAGTAAGTAGGCTTCTGTTCCAGAAGGCCTGCCATGTGGTGAGTTTAAGGAAAAGAAGTTGAATTTGAAAGCTACTTAGGAAGTTGATTAATGTGGTGTGCATTCGTGAGTCTCACCCTGGGTCTTCCTGGAGAAGTAAGATCTTGGAGTGCTGCTGCTTCTGCTCACTTTACCACCGAGTCACACCACCAGCCTTTTTTTTATATTTTATTTTGAGACAAGTTCTCGTTAAATTGCTTTGGTCCTCGCTTAGTTGCCCAGGCTAGCTCTGAAATTGCAATCCTCCTGCCTCAGCCTCCCGGGTCACTGGGATTACAGGTGTCCACCACCACGCTGCCATAACTTCCAATACTGATCCTGATTTCACTTGATTAGAAGACTATTTTCAAAATGTTCAGGTATTTTAAAATTTGTGTGCATGTGTACATGTGTGCGTGTGTGTGTTGTGTGTGTGTGTGTGTGTGTGTGTGTGTGTGTGTGTGATTATACAGCAAAATATTCCACAGTGGATTTAAAACACAAAAAATCAAAACATGAGAATTTTACTCCGGAAAAGACAGATGCCCATGAGAACACCTTCCGCAGTGAGTCCCTCAATCCTGTGTTCTGAGCCACCTGGCTGGCTCTCCACTCCCTTCTCTTCTGCCCCACAACCGAAGCAGAGGACTCAAGAGGAAACTTAGGACTCGCCAGAGTCTACCTGAAGGTAAAAGTCATTTTGAGTAAAGTTTTCACCTAAGGTGGTTGCGATAGCTCATGGAAGCTTCCGGTGCCCGATGGGTCCCAGGTCTGATGATGAGACAGGCAGGCAGAGTAAGGGTTGTCCTCTCCGTGGACTCTCAGCTGGTCACATTCTGGTCGTGCACATTGGTTTGCCGTGGTCGTTTTGTCTTGTTCTGACTCCGTGGACCAAGCTCTTGTGTGAGAGATAATAACGATCCTATCGCTGTGTTCCCTCGCCCCAGGTCCCCCAGCTTCAGGAATCCCTGTTGGAAAACACTGTCTCCTCAAAGTCCAGTGGACCACTGTGACTCCTGTCAAAAACAAGATGGTGAATCAGAGAAGAATACTGTCATTTCTTTTTCAAGATGCTTCATGGAAAAAACCAACATTCTAATAATGTCCTTTCCAGTTCCTGGTTCCTCAATAAAGGATATACGTTGCCTGCAAGTTGACTGGTCCCATTTTCAGAGCCAGTAGGAGTTAACATAGATAAACCTAGACTCCCCACCCCTGGGGTCTGGAGGAGTGGGAGAGTACAGCCTTTTTCTCAGGTTGAGGAGATTGGCATGAACAAAGGACTCCTTCATCTGAGAGAAGAAAATACCCTGACTTTGGAAGCAGGCATGATATTGCCAATGTAGCAATAGCAAGATCCTTGGCCTCTCTGTGCTTTGGTTCTTCTCATCTGTAAGATAGAAATAATAGCCTCCAGCCCACAGAGAAGACGGGAGCATTAAACAATAGTACATCATCGCCACAGCCTAGAATAGCAGCTAACTCACAGTCATCCCTCAGCAAACTGTTGTGATTTGTCATTGATCAGCTCTTGTTATTATACCAGCCACAGTGTGGTATAGGAGATCCTTTGGGGTTTTCTGATTTCCCAATATTGATGACAGGAGCCCACCTCTCAAAGCAGAAAATGTCTGCTGGGAGGGACTGTAATGGATTTGATTTTGTCACTCAGAGCAGAGGCTCACGATTTAACCCCTGTTACCTCCACATGTGATGTTAGTTATAGAGTCTGGATAGGGAGAATCAAATCAAAATAAAGTTATCAGGGTGGGACCTAATCCAGCACAACAGGCGTCCTTCTAGAAAGGGTCATTTGGACCCTGAGACAGGCAAGCACAGAGGGCAAGGATGCAAGACACAAAATCCCCTTGAAGAGGGAGGGTTGGTGTGGCCCATCTGCAGGCCAAGAAGTGCCAGAGATGGCCAGAAGACCACCACAAGGCAGGAGGAGGTGAGGGAGTTTTCGGAGGGAGCATGGCCCTGACGGCTCCTTGATTTTGGATTTCTAGCCTCCAGAATGCCGAGACAACAGATCTCTGTTACTCTAGGCCACTCCGTTGGTGACGTTTTACTATAACAGCCCACGAAACTCGTGCAGCTGTGCCTTCACTATAAGTAGCGCTCTACCTCCCCCACTTCCTGGAGGGGTTGGGTGTTCCCCTCAGCATCCCTCAGGAGGAGTGTGGCCTTTGAACAGCTCTCCTCTCTGAAGCTGGCAGAGTGCAGGTGTTTGCAGGTGTCTGCAGGAAGACTCTCAGCCCCACTGATACTCTGAGATGCGCAGAGGACTTGCAGACCCACTCCAGAAGAACCAGGCTAGAGCTAGGGAGGCGCGGCTGGGTGGCCATGCAGCGAGGCCCATGCACCACGTCTGACATTCAGAGTTTGCAGGAGGTAAAGGAGAAAGACCTTGTCACCGCCTGCAGACCCCAACACTGCAGCACTGGACGGGGAGAAGTCTGGGAGTCTCAGGTTTCCTGACACTTGCCCCAGCTCTGGAGCAATGCGTATCAAGGCACTTTAGCAAAATGCCACTGGTTGAGAGTCAGCACAAAATTACCCAAGAGGCCACCAATGCCTAAGAGAACTCTCAGAATTAAGTGGCTCTTGGCTCTTTTGTTGGTCTGAGGGTTTTGTTTG